TAATTTCTGTATGTAAATTAGGTTTCCTATTTTCAATAAACTATTATTATTATATTATTATCAAATCCAGTAAAGAACAAAACAACTCACAGAAATTAGGGTAACTGGTCAAACCGACTTTGAACATAACCATTTGGACAGCTTCAAGAAAAGTCATCCCAGTACGTTCGAGTGCTTCAATAGTATATTCCACGGCTTCAGTGGAGTCGATGACACTCTTGAGAGAGGGACTGAAAAAGTCCTCAAGGCAGGAGCACAACTCTGTCCTCATTTTGTGGTGACTGAAACCGCTTATGAAGCACCGATAAAACTCGCTCAACAGCTTATCTGCAACAGAATAATCACAGAGGCCAGGCAAATAAAGAACAGCGCAACTTACGGAATCTCAGACAGTAAGAGTAAGCGTCCCAAAGTTCGCTAGGAGGAGTCTCGATACACCTGGTGGAGAATTTGTCAATTGGCACCTTATGATACCTCATACATCGCTTGTTGTTGCAGCTCTGGCCGAGCTCCAAGAAATAAGGATAACACAGTCCCGAGAAGAGCTTCGGTACCGTTCCGAGTTTCATATTTATCTTTGCTGTACAGTTAGAAGTCGCACCGCCTGTCGTGCTCATACTCGGCTGTATCGGTTGTAATGGTTCTACGTCAGTGTTCGACAAGGGCGACGTTTCGATCCAATTCTCGACGTAAGTTCTATCGTAATTAGTTTCCAAACATACGTCTCGATGAGTAGATTCCGAAAGTTCCTCATCTTTGATGTCTTGCTCCAGATTATTGAGGTTATCTAGGATGTCTGCGCCTCCCAAAGACGGTCTGAAACAAATCCTACTTCAACTAATCTAATATTTGGTTCGAAAAAGTACTTTTAGTTCGTCCCAATTATATGAAAAGTCCCAAAAGTTTTGTCCGTTTTAATGACATATCCACGATAAAATCCTGGATTTGATCGTGAATAGTTTATGAAATAACTATGGATCTTTATCAAGTAACAGCCGAATCAATCAGAAAAAAAAATCTAACACAGTTGTTATTCTCATCTCAAGAAACAGCAGTCCCTAAAGATGTGCCGCTACTTTTTCCTCTTTAATCATAGATCAGTATCAATCTAAACGTCTGAAGTATACTATTGGAGTACCACAAGGCTCTATTTTGGGACCTCTACTTTATATAATTTATGTCAATGACTTTGAAGGAAATTTTGTAATGTATGCGGATGACACAACACTACTGGTTAGTGGTAAGAATGTTACATCCACAGTAGACTTGGCTCACAGGGAAATTTTAAAAGCCCAGGACTGGTTTTCTAGCAATAAATTAATCTGCAATGATAAAAAATCATCCTTCCTAAGATTTAGTTATGCCCCAAATGGTCATGATCACAGTTTACTGTTAAAATCACAGCACGGTTTAATGAAACAGGTGAATTCAATAAAATTTCTAGGACTTACTCTCACTGAAGATTGTAAATGGAATCAACATATTAATGAAATATGTAAAAAAATAACGCCTATGTGTTACTGTATCTATCAACTCAGTAAAATTATAGATAAGTCGGTGGTACTCATGTACTATCATGCCCAATTACACTCAACAATCTCATATAGTATAGTAGCTTGGGGCCTATCACGTGAGGCACAAAGGGTATTTATTTTACAGAAGAGAGCTGTCAGAAACATTCAGAGTGTAAATAGACGTACTAGCTGCAGAGA